CTGTTGCCCAGGCTGGTCTTCAACTCCTAGGCTCAAGTGATCCTCCTGCCTCAGCCTCCCAAAGTGCTGGGATTACAGGTGTGAGGCACCATTCCCAGCCTTGATCTATTTTTTATCAGACATTTTTTGAATGCCCATATCCTAGCAAATGTCAAGGTGTGGAGAAGCCTCTACTTGCCATTTAAAAGTTTTCATCTATTTGACATAATCATTTTATAAAATTATGTATTTGCACAACTTATGTCCAGAGGCCTTCTTTATGCTTCAATTACTTCAGAAGTATTTATTGAACTTCTTCTGAATGTAAAAAGAAATACATGATTTGTTTCACAAAATATGGAAAAGCATACATGAAGAAATAATAACTATGTAATCTCAAAGCCCAATGCTAGTTATTATTAACTTTTGGGGGCACATCCCTCCAGTTTTTCTTTTTTTTTGAAGAGATGGGGTCTCATCATGTTGCCTAGGCTAGTCTTGAACTCTTGTGTTCAAGTGATTCTCCCACCTTGGCCTCCTGAGTACTTCCAGTTGTTTTTGATGCATACTTAGGAATAAATCCAGATCATATCCATTTTTTCACTTACTATAGTGTGAAAATGTTATCTTCTTTGGTATTCTTTGAAGACATGATTTTAAATAATGGCATGACATTCCATTTTCAGGCTAAGCCACGGTTTGTTTAAATAACTCTCTATTGCCAGTAGGGGCCTTTATCTTTAAGGTTGGTGAGTACTGTCTTATCAAAAACTACATGAAGACAGGAATCAAACATTTAATTGTCCTTTTAAGGAAGTATTCACAACAAAAATATAATGAAAGTAACTTGATCATGTATATGCTGTAATCGTCTAGTTATCATTAAAAATAAACGTAGCCAATCTGCATTAAATGTAACATGAGTTAGGCTGGATGTGGTGGCTCATGCCTATAACCCTAGCACTTTAAGAGGCCAAGGTGGGTGTACTGCCTGAGCTCAGGAGTTTGAGACCACCCTAGGCAACATGGTGAAACCCCATCTCCACTAAAATACAAAAAATTAGCCAGGCATTGTGACGGGCACCTGCAGTTTCAGCTACTGAAGAGGCTGAGGCATGAGACTTGTTTGAATCTGGGAAGCAGAGGTTGCAGTAAGCTGAGATTGTACCACTGCACTCCAGCCTGGGTGACAACTGAAAAAAAAAATATATGAATTGGTATAAGGGCAACTGAAAAGCTTGAAGCTCTGGAGAAGGTTGGGAGAGATAACCTACCATCATCAAACCTGTTTGGTTGGGCTTTATTTACCATTTTTGAGAGGAACTGAGCTCTGTATAGTCTCAGGTAGGAGCTTTCAAAATCACTCAGTGACTCTAACCTCTTTCTTGTAGATGAAGAAATTGAATCAAGTTACCTGCTGAGACTAATACCCAGGTCTCTTAACTTCCTTCCTGTCCCATATGCTTTTCACCACAATCTGCTGACTAAGCCTACTCTTAAAAATACAGAAAGAGCATACATTTATCAACATGTCATTACAGAAACTCTGTTCCTCTTATAGTGCATGTACTCAGGTATAAAAATCGAATGGCAAGATCTTGGGTATGTATCCAAGGGAAAGGAAAGTCTATGTCCACAGGAAGACTTGTACATGAATGTTCTTAGCACCATTATTCATAATAGCCAAAAAGTGAAAACAATGCAAATGTCCATCAATAGTTTAATGGATAAACAAGTGTGGTATACTCATTCACTGGAACGCTACTTAAAAATAAAAACTATTGATAATGCAACAATGTGGACGAATCTCTCAAAATAATGATGTTGCGTGAAAGAAGTCAGACAAGGCCGGGCACAGTGGCTCATGCCTGTAATCCCAGCACTTTGGGAGGCCAAACTGGGAGGATCACCTGAGGTCAGGTGATGGAGGCCAGCCTGGCCAACATGGTGAAACCCTGTCTCTACTAAAAATACACAATTAGCTGGGTGTAGTGGCACATGCCTGTAATTCCACCTACTCAGGAGGTTGAGGCAGGAGAATCATTTGAACCTGGGAGGCAGAGGCTGCAGTGAGCCAAGATGGTACTCCAGCCTGGGCAAAACAGAGTAAGACTCTGTCTCAAAAAAAAAAAAAAAAAAAGGCAGACAAGAGTACAAATTGACTGTATGGCCAACATTTATCTAAAATTCTATGAAATGTAAAGCTACCCATATGACAGAAAGAAGATCTGTGGTTAGAGAGAATGGAAGTAGAGTGGAGGAGGAACCACAAAGGGATAGAGGAAACTTTGGAGAGTGATAGATATATTCACCACTTTCCTTGTAGAAGTGGTTTCAGGGATGTATATATATCAAAACTTATCAAATTGTACACTTTATTTTTATTTTTTTTTTGAGACGGAGTCTAGGAGTCTCGCTCTGTCGTCCAGGCTGGAGTGCAATGGCGCGATCTTGGCTCACTGCAACCTCCGCCTCCCAGGTTCAAGTCATTCTCCTACCTCAGCCTCCCCAGTAACTGGGACTCAGGCACGTGCCACCACACCCGGCTAATTTTTGTATTTTTAGTAGAGACGGGGTTTCACCATATTGGCCAGGCTGTTCTCAAATTCCTGACCTCATGATCCGCCCGCCTCAGCCTCCCAAAGTGCTGGGGTTACTGGTGTGAGCCATTGCGCCCGGCCAGAAATTGTACACTTTAAATATGTGCAGTTTATTTTGTCAATCATACCCCAATAAAGTTGTGAGATGTCCCTCTTAAGTTTGAAAAGCAGACAAGACTAAAAACTCACTGAAGTATCTAAAGCACAAGGCAACTACAATTACTTTTGGAGATAACTGACAATCAAGGTTCTTTTCTAGTATGATAGTTTATCTGAACAAAACATTACTATGAGAAATGCAAAGTCATAAAAATAAAAAATAGAAACGACATTTTTGTCCCCCTGGTAATCATGCCATTTCCTCATGTCTGTGCAGTAGCGTTATGTTATAATCTTTTTAGTGCTCTATGCAATTTGGTTTTTTTAGAGAGAAATAACCTTGTTGTACTTTTCCTGAACTAGACTGCTCTTTTATGTACAAGAAGCCCAGTCCCTGGTGTGAGTGTACTTGTGTACACTGTATCTATAAATTTTAGCAAATGCTGTCATTTGTTTTGGGATTTTTGTAGTCAGGACTTAGCGGAGATACTAGAAACAAATTAGAAATTTCTAGAAACCATACCTTCTACAAGATGAACGCTGTTTTCCTAAATATGTGAATTCAGTAATCACATTTTTCATTTAGATTTTCCACTTACTGTTTTAAAACAAAGAATTGCTATACCATACAGTCTACGAAACCGGTAATTTTCAATTTCTTCATTAAAGATTCCTTCACTCTTTTTTAGAAAACACGAGAAAGTTTTATTTCCCAACTCTCCCACTACCCATTTCAGAGCTCTTTTATTCGGTCATTATTCCCATTCTGCAGACGGGGAGGCGCACATACGTTTTTCTGCATAGTACAGAGGGACAAGAAAGAAGGAACTTTCAACTTTTCAGTTCCATTTTGAGAAACGATCACATTGAACTCCCGAGAAGCGGCAGCTGAGCGAGAGCAGCAGCATTTCTCCCCGGGTTGGGTGTGGGTCAGGAGCCAGGCGCGCTTCCGCGGGAATAGAGGGGGAGTCAGGTGGCAGCAGCGCCCGAGCCCGAGTGGCGCGGCGG